TAGTCATTCTGAGGGACCTTTGGGGGACCTGCAGAGAAGCTTGGATAAATCCAAAACTCAGCCACTCACCCTGAGGAGTGTGTTAATGATGGTGAGTACACCCACTGGAGTGGCTGGTCTACCTGTTAGCTCAGATGGTGGTTGAATTTGCTGAGAAGCAAACAGTTTCCATGTTGCTAGCTGATGATACAATTTAAAGCATTGCTATCAACAACCCCTAGAACTGCAGATATGAGTCTTGGAAACATGTTGAAGAATTAAGCAAAGGCTGAAGACACCTCCACGTTATGGGCCTCTCAGTGTCTATAGATGATTACAGTATAATTTATCAAATGTTCCACAGTAATTCTGAAGTGTTTTAGGGGGAAATTGTTTCAGGAATTTGTCCAGATTATTTACTTCAGATATTCAATGTCACCTAGGTGACAAGTCTGATTTCCCACGACTCTGTTCGAGGATGGAGCACAGTAAGTAGGCAGAATGTTGGACACCACTTAGGACAGATGCATGTTCTTTATTTCATCCCAGTGCTAAAACACACAGGTGACTGGTATTAACCTTGCCCCTCTCTACTTAGTAGCTCTCAGTCCTTATTTCTCATTCCATTTTCCCTTTTTTCCTTTCTTTATTTCAGTTATCCTATGCTGGGCATGTAATAAGCATAAGAAATATTTTAACTTCTTTTTCATTCATCTACCCCGTGCTAAATCCCCAACTTGACACTATAGCTTGATAATTTAATTTTTAAACTGAAAAGAGAAATAAAATAAAAGATCATGAAAGACATCTAATCTGTTCTGATTCTGTCTCCTTGCTCCTATCATGGACTAGAGTAGGAATGTGGCAGGGAATTATAGGAAATGCCAAAGAACAGGGTTTTAGGTATTGAGGTTGAGTGTGACAAGGGGATGAGGTTTGAGAAGCCAGCACAAATGGGCAAATATTTGCAAAGATTACATCTCTTACTGGTGATAGGAGAAAACAAATATCGACTTTCTTCATGGAACAGAGGAGTAGGCAGAACAGGATCGAGGAGCTACCAAACCTACCAAGGCAGTCTCAATTCTTAATCGCTGGACTGTATGGTAATTTGGGGTCCCCTACAAATGGGTGCAAGTAAGGCAGAGGAAAACCCTGATGACCTGAAGATTGAGAAGGCCAAGTGGGAACAATTGGGTTGCATTTCCTGTTTCTTAGGCCTATACCTGAAAAGAACAGAAGTTTGGAGGTAACAGATGAGATGTGCCCTGAGTCCTGGGCTCCTTTCAGACCACAGCCCTTAGGGACATGATTTGTATGTTTCTGGTTTCTCCCCTCTCCAGCTCACTCTGTTCCAGACATGCGTGGCCTCAGACTCAATCATGATGCTGATTGAGCTACTTCTTTGCTACTACCTGCACGCTGTGGATGCCATTTCATATGAAAACCAGACAAATGTCTTGATGCATCTTCCCTCATCCTTGGGATCCTGGCCACCTTCCTCAGACCGCTTGTCTTGCCAAATGCTGCTCCCAAAGTCCCTGCCTGGCTTCACCCACATGGCCCCTCTACCCAAGTTTCTGGTAAGCCTGCCACTGATGATCGCCCTGGAGGAAGCGGGCTGTCAGGCTGAGGTACAGGTCCTGCAGCTTCAGCTCTATCGCCAGGTGGGTGTAAATGCTACCCAGATCCTCATGAGACATCTTCAAGAGCTCGAGAAAAGCAGAAGCACAGGAAGGAGAGTGTCAGTGGATGCCCTGGCCTCTGCTCTGCAGCTGTTGGCCAGGGAGCAACCAGGCCCACAGAGGGCCCGACGAGCCATCTCTGTCAAGGACTCTGAACAGGAGCAGGAACAGGGTGTCTACAATACAGTCCAGCAGTTGCAGGTAGTGGGAACCTTCTACAACCTGGGCACAGCATTGTATTATGCTGCTCAGAACTGCCTGGACAAGGCCAAGGAACGAGGCCAAGATGGGGTCATAGATCTGGGTTATGATCTTCTGATGGCCATGGGTGGGCCCAAGGGACTACTGATCGGTATTGCACTTAAACCTGCAGTGAAGTTTGGGGTTCAACAGCTGATCCAGTATTACAGTGAGAAAGAGGCAAACACCCCTCCACCCGAGACCAGCAAAGAGGTCTTGGGGGACACCTTAGTTGCGAGTGACCTGGAAGAAACAACTACCATGGTCCCTTTCGTATCAGAACTAGTCAGTTCAGCACCTTTCTGGAGTTGGAACTTATTCAAGGGCTATGGCTTATAACCTGGGTATGGGAATCTTGGGGTATAAAAGAAGGTGGTAAACACAATTACTAGATCTCGTATTCTGACAAGCTCTGTGTGTGTTCAAAATCCAAATCTCTGATACATTATCAAGGAGAAAGGCAGTGCTGTTAAATGTAGGAACTTTAAAGTTTGCAGTTTGGCTGAGGACTTGGTTTTGAATCCAAGCTCCACTTGTTAGAGCTTCAGTGATCGCTGACTAGTAACTTAAATTCTTTCTCCAAACTCGGTTTTTAAGATTTCTAAAGTGAGGATGATTTTCACTTCAATGGGTTATGCGGACATTAAAAACGATACGTTGTACTAATGCTTAGCACGATACCATCAATAAACAGGTTTCTGTTGTTCTTGTTGTTGTCGTTACTTAAGCCCTCCCCTTCCTGTCCCAAAGTGTCGAAATTCCGTCTCGCTTCTTGGCATAGTGCCTCCAAGGTCCTGAGCTAGTCTCGGTTCTGGTCCTGTGGTGCGGGTTCTCGGAAATCAGCTGTTTCAGTCCTTGGCTATTCTATTCATTGGACTCCTCCCTCCGGAGGCCCGGGGCTCACTTGAGCTTTTCTACCAATCGCCGCGGCTGGAGGTGTGGTTTCGGCTCAGCTTGTCCCGCCCCGCGGAGAGGGAGGAGTTGTGCTGGCACCAATGAGCTCACAGCCTGGTGAAGAAACGGGCTGAATGGCAGCCAGTGTCCGGGTGCCCAGCTGGGAATGGCGAGTTTTGAGGTTCAGCAGCTCACAGAAGCTTGCGACAGGGGGCGGTCCCGAGAGGCGGGCCGAAGCCAAGGGCGTCGCAGGAGGTCCTGGTGCCGGAGCTCCCTCTGGGGACCGGAAGCCTGCACCGGAGCTACTGGAGGAAGCGGGGGCTGAGACCCTGACCAGGTACGATCCCTAAGAGGGCGCTCAGGGGTGAGGGTGGAGGCGCGAGTTTCTCCTTGTGAAGGGAGGCAGGCTCTGGTTGGGTACGCCCGGAAGGAGTCAAGACTCTGTCCCCAGGTTGAAATAGGAGCTGTCGCCTGCTGCATCCTCCTGTCCAACTTAGGTCCCCAACCCCAAAGCCCACCTCCCCAAACACCCTGTAACTTCCAAGACCCGAAACCTGGCATTGTTGCACTGACTCAGTGTCTTAGCCAACGCTTTTACCTTCTGGTCTGTGTTATTTTTGATCCTAACCCCCCAAAAAACAATGCCTAAATGTATCATTATTTGTTAAAGTGTAAGGTATAGGAAGGTGAAACGATTTGCCTAAGGTCACATATAAAATGCAGTTCATTTCAGAATAGCTTGTTGAGCACGCAATATGTGCCTGAGAACATGACGGATAACTGGAGAAAAATGAATTTACAGTCCTTAACCTCGGTATTTGCAATGTATTTGGGAAGACCAGGTTTTCTGTTTTTGTTTTTCATATTTAAACCTCACGGTTTACTTGCCGCCTTGCTCTTTTAATGTCAGCCGATTAGTTCCTGGGGAATTGGGGCCTCGTCATTCGTTTTTTAAAAACAGTACAGGTATACCTGGGGGGAGGGTATAGCTCAGTGGTAGAAATGCGTTCCTAGCACGGAGGAGGTCCTGGGTTCAACTCCCAGTACCTGAAATTGAAAAAAATAAAAATACAAGTACATAGTTTAAAAAGTCAAGTTAACCCTAAAAGAATTAAAATGAAAAATAGGAGCCCCTGGCCAATCCTTTCCTTTCCCTGTTTCTACTTCCCAGAGGTAGAAAGGCATCTCATTATTATTAACTCTGGTAGAAAAGAATCTCTCCCACCCCAAGCATTTGATCTGTAATAAAGTCGTGTGACCTCTTTTTAGACCACAGATGTGGGTGTTTATTCTTTTCTGTTAGGCTCAGGCTGCAAGAAGTTTTGATTTCCTAAACAGACAGATGGCAGTGGGCGGGGAAAGGTAGGCAAAGATTCTCCACCCAGCCTGCTTGGTGACAGGCAAAAGCCAGTTTTGAGTGAAAGTTCTCACAAAGTTGATAATCCACTTGAAGAATCAGAGATTGACTGAGGCCATAAAAATGTCAAAATCTTAGGAATTGAGATTAAATACCCTTGCACAGTATTTAAGCATCTTCTAGAATGGAGCTCCTCCTTCCAACATGGAGAGCAGTTTATAGGGTGTAACTTATGTTCAAGGAGGTTTTAGCCCCTGGCAAAGCCGTGGGGCCAGCAGGGATAATGCTGAAGTAAATACTTAGGACCAATCTTTAAACACTCTGGCATAAATGAATACAAACACAAACAGATAAATTTAAAATCAATTCATTGGGGGAGATAGATGAAATAAAGATGGTAGAAATATCATTAATGTTCGTTGAAGCTGGATGATGGGTACATGGATGATCCTTGTGCTAGTCCCTCTACTTTGTTGTGTTTGAAAATTACCACTGAAACAAAAAGGCCTACATATTGGAGCTCTTAAATAGTACTCCCTGGAAGAATGTGTACCAAACTGATAATACTGGTTACTTCCGGAGAGGAGGGGAAAGGACCAAGATTGGGGGTGGGTGGGGCAATCTAGACTAATTTTTCTTCTTACCTGTATAATTTAAAATTTTTTAATTTGTGGGGAGGGTTATGTGCGAACTCTCTGTATTTTCTGCTCAATTCTGTTGTGAACCTGAAACTGCTCTAAATGAATCAAGTCTATATAAAAATGTTTTTAGGGGAGGGGATAGCTCAGTGGTAGAGTGCCTACCTAGCATGCACAAGGTCCTGGTTTCAATCCCCAGTACCCCCACTTAAAAAATAAGTAATTATCTCCTCTCCTAAAAAAAAAAGGGAAAATTTTTTTTAATTTGTAATAATAAACAGTCACGAGACTATGAATGATTTAGTCCAGCCAAATTTCCAATTGGAAACCTGCATCCTTCAGGCTCAGGCCCCAAATGGCGCAGTGGGAGATGCTGCAGAATCTTGACAGCCCATTTCAGGATCAGTTGCACCAGCTCTACTCTGATTGCCTCCTGCCAGTGGACATTCGGCAATACTTGGCTGTCTGGATTGAAGACCAGAACTGGTAAGGCCATTAGGTAGTTGAGGGGATGAGGAAAGTGATTTCTTTCTTCTGAGCCCCCAGGATCCTGGAGACATCAGGGGCAAAAAGGAGTTGGGAGGCCTCAAGATAGTAGAAACCCTGCAGAGATACTAATTCTTGTCCTTCCTGGTCCCCAGGCAGGAAGCTGCACTGGGCAATGATGATTCCAAGGCTAATATGCTATTCTTCCACTTCTTGGACCAACTGAACTATGAGTGTGGCCGCTGCAGCCAGGACTGTGAGCGTTTTTTGTTACAGCACAACTTGCGAAAATTCTGTCGGGACATTCAGGTATGTGGAGGAGCTGGGAATAACAAAGTAGGAATGGGAGCTGAGTGTAGAGGAGTACATTTTAGGGTATGGAACATGGAACAGGATCTGGAGGTTCAAAGGGATGGAGGAAGATCTGGGGAAAAGGGGACAGTGCCTCGACTTTGGAGATCACTGGCAGAGAGAAGAGCAGTCTAGGTGATCCTGTTGGGAGGAGGCTAGGGTTGGAGAGACCAGTAGTGAAAAGGGGTAGGGCTTGGGACCCTGAAGGAGAGGGAAATACTGAGGTCACTGTTGGGGAGGATCTAAGATGGTAGTTCATTGATGGCAGTTGAGTTAAATGAATCCTTTTTCTTTTCCTACTGCAGGCCTTTCCCCAGGGCCCTACCCAGTTGGCTGAGATGATCTTTAATCTCCTTCTGGAAGAGAAAAGAATTCTGACCCAGGCTCAGAGGGCTCAGAGGGCTCAGTTGGTGAGAGCAATTTGGTGGTGATGCTGAAAGCTCCTGGAGTAGAGAGGGACCATGCAAAAAACTCAGGAAATTTGTCTCAGAACAATATCACTCCACATCCTGTGATGTAATCTCCGGCCTGGATTTCAGGGATGAAAGGTCAGAGTTGAAATGTACTCAGAGCCTCTTATTTCAGGAGCAAGGAGAGCAAGCCCTTGAAGCACCCGGGGAGAGCCAGCAGCATGAGATTGAAACCCGGATCCTGGAATTAAGGACGATGATGGAGGTTGGTAGATGTGGCAAGAGCCAGGGTGGGCAGGGCTCAGCCTGCCTCTTTCCACTGGAGCAGCCTCATCTGGGTCTCATCTCCTCTGCAGAAGCTGGTGAAATCCATCAGCCAACTGAAAGACCAGCAAGATGTCTTCTGCTTCCGATATAAGACCCAGACCTCAGGTAGGAAGCACATAGAGGGATGGGAGAAAGGAGCCTACTGGGAGGTCAAGGGTGGAAGAGAGCAGCAGGGAAAAGCTTCAGTAGGCAACAGGCACCTTTGGCTATGTCTCACTGGTTGTGGTCCTGCTGTCGTGCCAAGCTAAAAGTGCCAGGGTACATTGTAGAGGTTGGGCTGGAGGTGTGGCTGAGGGACAGCTAATGAATGTTGGAGGAGATGCTTGGGAAGCTGCCTTAGCAGATTAAGTCAGCTTCTGGTTCTAGCAAGGCCATTCAGAATTCGCCCGAGGGCCCAGGTGTGCCTGTGCTCTTCTTGGTTCCCCTTCTTTTCTCTTCAAAATTCCCCTCTCCTGACTCCGATTGAGGTCTAGGTTGGGAAGGAGAGGGGGAGGAGCCTTAGGTCTGCACACTTTTCTCACTCCTGCTCCTGCCATCCAGCGAGGACACCCTCTTTGGACCCCCATCAGACCAGACAGCAGCAAATTCTGCAGGAAACTCTCAATGAACTGGACAAAAGGAGAAAGGTGGGAGGCAGAAGACAGAGGGAGTGGGCAGCAGGGAACTGGGGAAAATGAAGGATCTGGGAGCCCTGGCCTCCTAGCCTTGGCTTCTTTGTCTCTTCATCTTTAGTTAGATGGTGGAGGGTGATGGTGAGAGGTGCTCAGTACTCACTTTATGTCTTTCCTAGGAGGTGCTGGATGCCTCCAAAGCTCTGCTAGGCCGATTAACTACCCTGGTCGACCTGCTGCTGCCCAAGTTGGAGGAGTGGAAAGTCCAGCAGCAGAAAGCCTGCATTGGAGCCCCACTGGATGGAGGGTTGGAGCAGCTGGAGAAGTGGTGAGAGGCACCTCCCTCCCCTCATGCTTACCCAGCCCTAGTCTTAACTACCTCTCTGTGCTTTGTAGGTTATAACGCCCTGTATATGACAAGAGGTATTTCCCTCCTTAATCTCTGCTCCCTAGAATGATCCCTGCCCTTGTCTGGCTGCAGCTCTGCTCTTCATTCTCACCACCCAGGCAGCATGGAGCCCAGTCTTTGCTTGGAGAAAGTAATGGACTGATCCACAGTCTGATTTCTACTTCCTGTTTAATCATCCGAGAAATATCTTTTTACTTTTTTTTCAGCAAAATGAATATAAAGCCAAAAACAGAAAAAGAAAAGAAAAGAAGGAAGATTATCTATTACTTTAATATCCAGGTGTAGCTACTATAATATTATTAAACAAAAATAGAATCATACTGTTCATACCATTTTGAGACCTGTATGTTTGTTTGTTTTTAACTTAGCAGTATATTGTATTTACTCATGTTACTTTTTTTTATTTTTACTTTTTGGGAAGAGGGGGTCATTAAGTTTATTTATATATTTTTTTAATGGAGGTACTGGGGTTTGAACCCAGGACCTCGTGCATGCTAAGCATGCACTTTACCACTGAGCTAGATCCTCCCCACCATCTGTGTTACTTTTAATGGCTGCATCATAGTTCCCTACGTGGAAGTAACATAATTTAATTAATGAGCTCCTATATTTTGACATTTAGATTGTTTTTAATTTCTTGCTATTGTTTTCCAGCAAACTCTTTATTTTAAATTAATTTTATTGTGGTGTAGAAAAAATAACTAATGTGTCCTTCAACATATTCCAGAAATACCTAGTTAAATATTTTCTCGTGAGAAAATTCATTATAATTTAAACTATTAAAAATATACCACAACAGTTCAGGTAAATTGAAAACAGATGAATAGGGCTTAGGGTACAGGATAAGTATTTACATTACAGTTGCATCTATATTCACTATCTTCTACAGGTGTTGGCAAACTATGGCCTGTGAATGATTTCTTACTATTTTAAACAGTGCTGTAATAAGTAACCTCATAGCTACATCTTTCTTTACATCCCTAGTTATTTCTGTAATGTAAGTTACCAGAAGTAGTATTCCTGGGTTAAAGTATATACCTTTTTATGTTGGTGGTGGTGGTGCTGTCATTGTGTTGTTTCTTTGTTTCATTGTTTTTAATACAAAGGTTTCTTGCTTTTTCTGATCATAAATATAATGCAAACCAGTTGAAAAATTTTCAGACAACTTAAAAGGTAAAAAAAGTAAAAATTCCCCATCTGCATAATCTGATTGTGCAGAGGTACCCACAATTAATGCTTTTGAATACATTTTTCCAGATTTACCCTATGCATATATACAAATACACATCTATTTTAGACAGAAGTCAAATTATATCATATATGTACTATCCTGTAATTGTTTTTAATTTAATATTCTTGGACATTTTTTAATGTTAAAAATTTGAGCCTGTATCATTGTTTTTAATGGTTGCATAGTATTCCATCATGTGAATATGCCATAATTTATATTCCCAATATCAATTGTTTCTAATTTTGCTATTACAAATAACAAAACTATGAACTTCCTTGTACATTTATCTTTGTCCATTTGTCTGATTATTTCTTTCAGATATATCTTAGAAATGGAATACTCCAAAATGTATGCACACTTTTTGCGGCTTTAAAAAAAATAGTTCCAAACTGCTATCTCTGTCTGTTTGCTTATATATAGTGGATGATTCTTTTCCTGTCACCACGTTGCCCAATATTTTTTTTTTCATTATAGGGAAAGTAAAATACAGAAGTTAAAAGTGTGGATTGTGCAGCCAGACTGCCTGGGATCACATACAACTTTATCCCTTACTAGTTTTAAGTCACTTAATCATTCTGTGCCTTAGCTTTATCATCTGTAAAATGGGGATAATAATAGTACCTATCTCATGGGATAGTTGTAAGGATTAAATTCATGAATATGTACAAAGCACTCAGAATAAGTAGTACATATCAAGCATCATATGAAAGTTAGGTTTATTATGTTAATAAATCTCTTAGCAGTTTTATATGTAAAAATAGCTTCAATTTTCATTTCTTGGATTATGAACCATGTTGAATAATCTTTCATTTGCTTCCTGGGTTACGTTTTCGTCTCAATTTCTGACTCTCCCCATAGTTAAAGAAGAGCTCCTGAAGTCTGTTTGGGGGTTCTGGGACACCCATGGGCTCTCTCTCCCTTGGATTCTGTCACCCAGGTTCACAGCTGGAGCAAAGCTGTTGTTTCACCTGAGGCAGCTGCTGAAGGAGCTGAAGGGGTTGAGTGGCATGGTTAGCTATCAGGACGACCCTCTGAAGAATGGGGTGGACCTGAGGAAGGCCCAGGTCACAGAGCTGCTGCAGCGTCTGCTCCACAGGTCTAGAGGCCAGGGAGGGACTTGAGGGAGGCCAGAGGGAAGGAATCAGGGGAGCCACCCTTACAGATACTGACCTACGTGTATTCTCGCCACATCTCTCTCCCCAGAGCGTTGGTAGTGGAAACCCAGCCTTGTATGCCTCAAACTCCCCATCGACCCCTCATCCTCAAGACGGGGAGCAAGTTCACTGTCCGAACAAGGTTGGCATTCCAGAACTCACCCCTGTTTCCTTTTTCTAGCCCCGGCACTGTTTGCTTTCTGGCTTTACAAATCTTCCTACCCTTGGGTGTTTCTTTTCTCTTTTCTCTTCAATCCACTTACCTTTTCCATTCTCTTCCCTTATCTTTTTCAAATATCTGGTCTATCCAGGAGATTGAGGTTGTCCACTTTCTCCCATCTACCTCCCTCCCCCGCAGGCTGCTGGTGAGACTCCAGGAAGGCAATGAGTCTCTGACCGCGGAAGTCTCCATTGACAGGTAAGTTGGGGTGGGTGAAGGGTGGGACTAAAGGGTGGCCAGGACATGGGGTGGTGGGTTGGAGGAGACCCCTACTCTCCACAACAGGGCTCGAGGGATGTTCTCCCCCTTCCATTCCTGCCTCATAGAAATAACTCATCCTTTTTGTTGAGCGCTTACTGTGTGACACACAGCTTGTCCACTACTCAATTTAGTTGTCACAGGAACCCCATGTGTTAGGTATTATCAATGCACCATTCAAATGAGGAAACAAATTCAGAGAATTTGTGTTTCTAGCGCAAGGCCATATAGCTAGTGAGCTGCAGGTTTGGGTTTGAACCCAGGTCTTTCTGATCCCCATAATCAAATTCCTAACTTCTATACTATTTTGCTACCATTGATTTTTTTTTGTATTTTTTTTCAGGAATCCTCCCGAATCACAAGGGTAGGTGCCTGACAGGAACGCTGCCTGCAAACATTTGTGTACTGCATGACCTGCACAACCACATGTGGCAGCCCTGATGGGGGCACAAACAAGGAGGAGGTTGATTTCGGGTGGTGTGTGGACAGAGGGAGGAGGGGAGATCTGAAATGAAGTGGAGCTTTTGTTGTTTTCCTGCTGAGTTTTTAGAGTAACTCCACTCCTGACCTCCATATATCTTCTTCCTCCTGCAATAGCTTCCGGAAGTTCAACATTCTGACCTCAAAACAGAAAACTTTGACCCCCGAGAAAGGGCAGAGTCAGGGCTTAATTTGGGACTTCAACTATCTGGTAAGAAGGGATGGAATCTTAAGCTTCTAGTCCAATGGAACAGGCTGGGAGAAGTTCCCAGGCCTTGGGAAGTCCTGAGGGTACCAGCAAGGGTTCCAGGGGCCCTGGGGTCCCACTCAAGGATTCCCTCTCCTTCCCCTCAACTCACAGAATCTGATGGAGCAGCGTTCAGGTGGTTCAGGAAAGGGCAGCAATAAGGTGAGGCCTGGACAGATGGTTGGGGGGCAGGAGGAATTTGCCAAAGGGCTCTCTGATCACTGTATCTTGGGCTGTCCCAGGGGCCACTGGGCGTGACAGAGGAACTGCACATTATCAGCTTCACAGTCAAATACACCTATCAGGGTCTGAAGCAGGAACTGAAAGTAAGTGAAAATGAAACACACTGGGGGGAAAGCATAAGGAGGGGTGAAGCAGAAACCTCTTAGGGTGGGGTATTACCTGGCCCTTACCAAATGTCTGCAGCTGGAAGCATTACATCCCTCTTCTGTGATTCCTATCTCCTCCCCAGACGGACACCCTCCCTGTGGTGATTATTTCTAACATGAACCAACTCTCAATTGCTTGGGCTTCAGTTCTGTGGTTCAATCTGCTCAGCTCAGACCCCCAGGTAGGAGATGGGGCCAACAGGTGAAGGGTGGCCAAGAGGGGAGTTGAAGTGGGGCATGAGGGCACTGCTTCTGAGCCAGCCTGTCCCTCCCGCCTCTGCAGAATCAGCTGTTCTTCTCCGGCCCCCCCAAGGCCCCCTGGAGCTTGCTGGGCCCCGCTCTTAGCTGGCAGTTCTCCTCCTACATTGGCCGAGGCCTCGACCCAGACCAGCTCGGCATGCTGAGGGATAAGCTGTTTGGTACAAACATTCTCCTTTTCTCTCAGCCTTTCCACAGCCTTAGTGCCCCCACCCTCCTTCCTATCTGCCTCCTCCCGTCATCTGAACTGTCTGTCTGCACACAGGGCATCACTCCAGGACTGAGGATGCATTTTTGTCCTGGGCTGACTTCACTAAGGTAACTCCCTGCATCCTGTGCAGCTAGACCCTGACGCCCCATCCAGTTACTAGCCCTTCCTTTCACCAGGAGCAACTCCACATTTCTTCCCGTCTTTCCCTTCCTCCTTCAGCGAGAGAGCCCCCCTGGCAAGCTACCGTTCTGGACGTGGCTTGACAAGATTCTGGACCTGGTCCATGACCACCTGAAGGATCTCTGGAAAGATGGGTAAGGCCTTAGGCCTCTCTCCACCTGCCCCGCCGCCCCCACCCTTCTCAAGGCCCAGGTGCCTTTCTGGGCTTGAGAGTGGACTCTGTGCGCCCTCATGTGGCAAATAGGGGGAGAAAGCAAAAACTGGTGCAAGGTCACACTCCACCACGTTTGCAATAATAGTCTCGTAGCCAGCATTAGTCAAGCATGCACTGTGTTCCAGAGCCTGCTGAGTGCTCTTTCTGAATTCTGTCACATAATTCTTACAACCCTGCTGAGTGATGGGTGTTGCCACCCTCAAGTGAGGAAATGAAGGCTCAGAGACGTTAAATGACTCATGCAAGGGGCAGAGTTGGGATTTGAACTCAGGCCTCTCTGACCCTAAGCCTATGCTCTTTCCTCCACACTGCCTGCTCATTTGTGTGGCACTCTGCCTTTTACAAGATGCTTTTCGCTGTGTGACCTCGCTGAATCTTCACACCTCTTCCAACCCTGGGAGATGGATGTTGTCAGGAAAGCTAAGTGACTTGGCCAACATGGAAAAGTTTGTAACAGTTTGGCAGTGCCAGGGCCAAAACCTGGCACCCTTTCCCTGTACAAGGGGAGCAGAGAGACAAGAGGGCCTCACAGCTGCTCTCTGTGCTGCAGACGCATCATGGGCTTTGTGAGCCGAAGCCAGGAGCGCCGGCTGCTGAAGAAGACCATCTCTGGCACCTTTCTGCTGCGCTTCAGTGAAACATCGGAAGGGGGCATTACCTGCTCCTGGGTGGAGCACCAAGATGATGGTCAGCTGCTCTGCCCTGCCATTCCCACAGCCTCTCCCTTCGGCCTCGCTGCCTGCCCTTGGCTTCCCTGGCTCTGTCCTGAATCCCTTGGCAGGTTTGGGGTTGGGGAGCCTCTTCCCTCAAGCCTGCTTGTTCCTATATCCACTCTCCAGATAAGGTGCTCATATACTCTGTGCAGCCCTTCACCAAGGAGGTGCTGCAGTCACTCCCGCTGACCAAAATCATCAGCCACTACCAGCTGCTCACCGAGGAGAACATACCTGAGAACCCACTACGCTTCCTCTACCCCAGAATCCCCCGGGATGAGGCTTTTGGCTGCTACCAACAGGAGAAAGGTGAGGATCATTGATATGCGTCACTGGAAGATTGCAGAGATTCACAGGCATCCACAAATCCAACTCCATCCTTCCAACGTGGAAAAACCGATTTCCAGAGAAATTAAAGGATTTGTCCATGGGACACTGCTAGTTAGCTGGGAGACGTGACTGTCAGGACTGTCTGCACTGGGGGACCCAGGGGCTATGTGCCCAATCCACTGACCTCCCCCTCCTCCTGTGTCTGTTCCCCACAGTTAATCTCCAGGAACGGAATAAATACCTGAAGCATAAGCTCATTGTGGTCTCTAACAGGTGAGCTATGAACTCTTCACCCATCCTCCCTAACCCTCTTTGGCTCATAGAGTGACCCAAACCTGCCCAGTTCCTGTCTCTCCAGCCTTCTCTCCTACTGACCCATACTCTCCAACCCTCTAGGTTTTTTCCTGGTCTTCTGGTCTCTCTCCTCTCTATGTTCCTGCTGCCATCCTTAGGTTGTCTCTGCAAGGGTTCTCTGATAATAATGGTCCTGATCGGCAGGGGGTTGGGGGCGGGGGGTATAGCTCAGTGGTAGAGTGAATGCCTAGCATGCACAATAAGGTCCTGAGCTCAATCTCCAGTACCCACATTTTAAAAAATGGTCATCATCACTGCTGTTAATGGGCACTTACTTGATGCCAAGCATGGTACTAGATTTTTTTAGAACATTTTTTTCATTTAATCCATATGGGAACCCATCTGAGTCAGTAATGATAACAGCCACATTTAATGAAAGTTTACTATGTGCCAGGCACTGGGCTAAATGCTTTGTGTTCATTTTCTCATTTATTGAATCTTCTTAATAGTCCTATGAGGCAGAAGACACTGTTATTAACTGTTTTCATCTGAGAAACCTGAGGTTTAGTGCGTTGAAGTGGCATGTCCAAGGTACATGGCTAATCAGTGATCCAGGTCTGTCAATTTCCAAAGCCCTGCTTTTAACCATCATGCTGCCTCTCAAGTACTATGAGGTATTGTTCCCTTTTTACAGATGATAAATCTGAGGCTCAGAGAGGTTAGGTCACTTTGCCTAACGTCACCAAACTAGTAAATAATATGATTTAAATTCTGGTAAGCCTAACTCCAAAGCCGGGGCTCTTAAGCCATCTGCTCTGTTGCCTTTTTCGACTAGAGAGATAGCCTCTGCTTGCTCTACCATTCTCCACTTCACCTAAACCACTGAGCCCTGCTTCTCTCTGTACTGGGGTGTCTAGACAGGTGGATGAGCTGCAGCAACCGCCAGAGCTGAAGTTGGAGCCAGAACTGGAGTCATTGGAGTTGGATCTGGGGCTGGTACCAGGGACAGAGTCAGGGCTGGGCCTGGACTTGGAGCCGCTGCTGGAGACAGGGCTGGATCTGGGGCCAGCCCTGGAGTCCCCTCTGGAGCCCGTGTTGGAGCCCACACTAAATGAGGTGTCCCAGAGCGTCCCAGAGCCAAGCCCAGGACCCAGACTGAAAGAGGAGCCTCTTCTAGCGCGTATTTCACAGCCAGTGCCAGAGCCGGATTTGCCCCACGATCTGAGACACTTGAACACTGAGGAAATGGAAAGTAAGTGATGAGGGGGAGGGTATAGTTCAGGGGTAGAGTGCATGCTTAGATGCTTAGCATGCATGAGGTTCTAGAGTCAATCCCCAGTACCTCCATTAAATATAGACAGACAAACAAACAAACCTAATTATTCCCCCCCCACCACCAAAAAACCCAGAAACTAAGTGATGAGATGCGGCTAGGGAAGAGGGGACACATTCCCTTTCCCATCTCCCCTCCCTCACCCATTACAGAAAAAGGCTGTGCTCTAAGCTCCTTATTGGAGAAAGGCTTATTTCCCTGGGGTTGCTTTTATTAGGAAATGTACATGCCTCCCCTTGCCCGACCTCTCAGGCCAGGCCTCTGCTGCCTTCCCCCACCCCCTTTTTTCCTGCTGGTTTGGGAACTCCTTGCCTAAGATCAGGGCCTGACTTTTTCTCTGGACTATCTAGTCTTCAGAAACAGTATGAAGATTGATGAAATCATGCCAAATGGTGACCCACTGTTGGCGAGCCAGAACAACATGGACGAAACTTACATCTTCCAATCCAGCCATTTCTACACGGATGGGCCCCTGATTCCTTCTGACTACTAGGAACTACGTTTCTTCTGTTATTTCCATATGTTTTGCCTATCCTACCCCTCACATCATGAGGATGTGAAATCAGGCATGTGCCCCTTCAAAGCTGGATTAACCCTGGGATTTGGAATGAGAGGTGGAAGCATAATATGGGTAAGAAAGAGTCACCAATGAATCAGAACAGATGTTGGCCATAGTTCCAAGGATCCTGGAGGCTGCCTGCTGTGCTGGGAGGTATAGGGATTCGGGGGCAGGCCAGGACAGTTCAGAGGTACTTGGAGGGCTCAGGGCAGTGGCTTTTTAGTACAGAAGGATTTCAACATTTTTGTAGCTGATAAGGCTAACCTGGTGCACACTTCATCTTCCTGGGATGCCCTTTCTGCTCAGAACTTCTGATCCTGTAGTGATTGGGACTACTGTCTTTGGTGAAATATATACTCTTGGCTAAGAAAGCAGGGAAGGAAACCCTGGGTCAGGGAGCAAGAGGGCCACACTTCGGAGCCCTGCTTCCTAATCACAACCTTCTGTGATCTCATTCAACTTGCTTAGCCATATAGGGATTAAGGCCAAAAAGATCCCATTTACTCTACATCCCAGGGAGTCATGAGGAAAGATCCCTCTCCACCATAGCCCTGCAGAGTAGAAGGCTATATTTTGTAGTGCTTTGGCCCTGTTTTTCCATTTTTTCTTTTTCCCAACAAGCCTAGAAAGTAGACTCAGCTATCCACATAAATAAGTCTTTATTGAAAAAAGTACATAATTCATTATAAATATAATAAATAATCCTCCTCCCCAAACCACTACGAGGATAAATAATCCCCAAATTTCCCTTCCCATGTAATAAATATTCAACCTTGTCCTAAGGCAGCATCGTAAGTCAGTCAGTATTGGTAATTTTTCAACAGAGCAAGTCCCCATAAAATTACTAAACTGATTAACTTGTGGGCTCACAGGTGTCTAAGCTGATAGATTCGTTGTAGCATTGCTGAGCCATGGAGGTCTGGGTGCCACCCTTAAGCTGTTGGATTTAGGGGCTCAGGGTTGCTGCTCCATGGGCAAAGACCCGGGCAGCTACAGCCACAAAGGCCTGGAGGCTGCGAAGGATCTTGAGGCGGAGAAGAAGACGCTGCCACGGCTGGCTGGGACTGGGGCTTGGAGTCTGCTCAGTCTCCCAGTGGTGACCCTCAGGCTGAAATGACACAGGACACAATCAGAGAGGATTCTAGATCCTTCAACCCCCAGGCCCTGACACCTGCAAGCCCTCCCCACCCCAGATCCCTAGCTCATACCTGCAAGAGTTGCCTGAGGCCCAGCAAAGAGGCATGAAGCTGGCCCACAGGGCCATGGGGGAGCAGAGAAGCCTCCCCGGTGAAAATGTCTGAGCCCAGCAGCTTCTCGTAAAAGACCAGGCCTTGGTGGATCCTTTGCAAGCAGGACTGGACAGAAAAGAAAGCCATGAAAAACACCAGATACCTTCTAATCACTCTATTTACCGAAGACCCATCTGATGTTTGCCATTCTTAGGCATGGTTGACACCTGAATATTTGCGTCCTCACAGAATTCATATGACCCCCAGCATGATGGCATTAGGAGTTTGGACCTTTGGGAGATAATTAGGTCATGAGAATGGAGCCCTCATGAATTGGATTATTGCTCTTATACAAGAGACCCACAGAACTCCCTAATCCCTTCCACAATGTGAGGATACATGAAGTCTGCAACCTGGAAGAGGGCTCTCACTCAGCCATGCAGGTACCCTGATCTCAGACTTTCAGTCTCTAGAACTGTGAGAAATAAATGTCTCTTGTTTATAAATTACGCAGTCTGTGGTTGGTGGTTATGGAAGGCTGAATGGACAAGGACAAATACAACTTTTACAAATTCACCATGGTGTCCAGTTCTGTCCCCAGTCCCCTCTTCCTTGTGGCTCAGCCTCATCTTAGTACCTGACTGTTGTCCCTGAGTCCTTGGGGATCACAGCCATCCTCACACTGGATATGGGGGACACCATTTGTAGTTTCATCTTCTCCCTCTTCTCTTGGTAGATCCTGGAATGGAGGAGGGGGTAGAAGAATGAAGAAATAAGTACTTTCAAACCCCACCTGGATTCTCAGGCCCTGACTCCCCCTGGAATCCAACCCCCTTGTCCTCTTTTACCCCTTGATGGCCTTCAACCCTCCAGCTTCCACCCCAGGCCACAGTCTTCCACTGCAGCCTTGGAGAGTTTGGATGGGCTCCTGTTTGGTCCCAGAGGCTGCCACTCACCACATGTCCCATTGGCAGATGTGCACTCCAGGCCAGCGTGCAGAGCTGCTGTGAGAGCTGCTGGCCCTGAACCCAGGCAGGGCTGTTGCCCTCCGGCACAGCCCGGCCCTGAGTGGTCCAGGGCAGCACCAGCAGCAGCAGCATCACAGCTCTGCTTCCCAACATCTTGTTGCCTGCTTCTCGAATCTGGCTGGCTCCGTGCCTTGCAGTCCCTGTGGAATCTCTGTCCACTTCCCCTTGCTCTGAGCCTGATTCTCTCTGTTCTGTGTGTCTCTGGTTTGGTTCCCTCTGTTGTGCACCAAGTTTCTGAGCTGCTTCCTGTAGATTTTCTCCCCTTGTCTGAGTCTCTTTTTAAGATCCCTGCATTGTAAGACCCGCCCTTTATACTAGCAGGTGACTCACAGCAGGTGGGATTCCCCTCCCTGCATCATCCCTCTCCTTGGGGAGCCCAGGTATGCAGCCTCAGCCCAGGGGAAATGAGTCGTGTGGTTGCTGTGGCTGGAGGCCTGGGATGAGACTTATGTGTAATGCTCTCCAGGAATCGAAGTGGCTGCGGGGGGGGGGGGGTTGGAGTAATGAATATTTAAATGAATTAAGTCTCAAGTTCCTTCCTGTTTAACCTTTCCCTCATCTTTTTGCCTCTCAAAGCTATATTCTCCCTCCCTTCAAACCAGCTCTGATTTCCTCACCTCCTCCTGCCTGAGTTAAAAACCAAAAGAGAAGCATTCATTTATCTCACAATAGAATGGCAAGTTCAGTTTGGAATGAAGTTTGGTTCCCACCTGATGCCCTCAACCTAAGAATAAAGGGGCTTCTTTTTCTCTGTTGGAAGCGTTTTTTCCACTAGGAGAGAATGTATAAGAAAACACTTTGCGAACTGGGAAGCCACATAAGTTCAGCATAAGGTATTATTGCTCCCTCACTTCAGGTCTCGCTCTGGAGGCTAGAGAGCTGCTGGAGAGAGAGCTGTGGCTAAGAACCAACTGATTCTTCAGCCTTCGTGGCTCAAGTGTCATGGGCTCTGTGGGATTCAGGTGATTTTGGGGGGGTGGGGAACACCAGTGTAAGCAAAGGCTAGAAATCCAACTTAGATATTTCAGCACCCAGTCCCTTCCCCATGGCTAGGAAGTCAGGGAGTTCTGCGTAGTTGAAGGTGCACAGTGTCAATGACTCTGGCTGGTCCTTCAGCCTGTTGCATCCATGGGTAAAATCCGCTGACACTGATTTCATCACCATCCCTGATGCAACATTCAGTGAAACATCTGAGAGTGTGAGGTCGGGTGTGGGAGTGGAGGGTGGTCCAAATCTGGGACTGCCCCAACCCCAGTGGAGGGTCCCAGGACAATTTGGACGTCAGAATGAGGCCATGAATGACCACACAGATGGCTCCCAAAGCCTTCCCAAGAGGTTGACCCTTTTTCTCCGAGAAATTTACCCTTGATAGAAAAGTCTTCCTTCCCTTAGGACTATGTAAAACTGCCCAATGAAACTTCTGATTCAAATATGACTCTGTGGTAAATCCACTCTTTGGATAAACATTTCCAGCATTAGAGAGGTTATCTCAGTTTGAGTGAGAAATGGTTTGCCTCTTCTTACATTGGTGGATACACACGGAATAAAGACCTTGGAGGTGGGGTGTGGGAGGGGGAAGGGGAGATCACCTCACTTTTGTATAATGTCTTCCATGCTTTTACCACCTCTGGTTCTCATTCTGGGAGCCCTTTAGGATAGGAGATGGAAGGTGAAAAGGAGGAGGAGGAAGTGGAGCCCTGGGGGATGGGATGAGAGGGACAAGGGTGAGTTGGAGGCACGGGGCTTTGTTTCACTTCCTGGTGCTTCGGGAGCTGGGTAGGAAGCAAGAGTGGTGGGGCGACTGTGGGACTGTTGTGTGACAGGAACTACTTCCAGGACTAGATCTGACCTGAAGCTGCAAGGAGACCTTGACGTCAGCAGGACCGCAACCGTTATGCAAATTACATTGACAAGACACTCCCATGCAGGCCTTTCCAGTTGGATACCCAGATGCTAAATCCAGCTGAAGTTTCCCCAGGTGGTTAAAATTATGGCTTATACCCAACTCTCACTTTATGCCAAGTACTTGATTTAAGCACTTTTCACGTATTAACCCATTTAATTTTCACAACCACCCAATGAGATAGGTACTATTATTATCCCCATATTACAGATGAGGAAATTGAGATGCAGAGATAAGCAACTTGCTCAAGATCACAGAGTTACTAAGTGGCCAAAATTGTACTGCAGATTTCAGAACCTGCATTCTTGGTCATTCCATTATATTGGACTCTGTAAGGCAACACAGCATCTTAATAAAGCAGCTCATTTAGCCCAGGTATCCTTGGTATCTCAGGCCCTGTTACTCTCAGTGTGACCTCTTTCTTAATTTGCGACTTCAATATGGACATTTCTAAAGATGAACTGTCTGTCTCTCAGCACTGGTCTTTTTGGGAGACTTTAAATCTAGGGACCTGTGAAGTCAGCTGAGTTTGGGAGACCTTCTGAGTTAAGGTGTTTCTCCATCTATGACCTCTGAATAAGCCTAAGACCTGTCTGAGTCCTGGAAATTTAAATTATTGGATTCTTTTATGAAGGTCTATTTACCAGTCTTTATTGAGAGAGAAATGCTTTAAAACTGTATCCTCTATAAGGAATTCCTTTCACCAAAAAGGCCCTCTCTGTGGCCTTTAGAAACTGAGCTAAAAAGCCCCAGAGACATCTAACAACCTGGATCTATTCCAAAGCAGTTCAAGCTCAGAGATAGACTCCAAGAATTCCTCAGAGCTAGTGTTGACGCTAAACTTCTAAGAGCTGGGGGAATGCAAGTATCTAAATTCGCCCTGCTCTGCCCCTCTGGGGAATAATGTCCAGCTCCACGAGCTAGGGGAACTTGATAGCTGAGGATTCCCGTTCCCTGAAAATATTACCGGGGCCTCTAAGGAGGGAATAATCACAGATGGGAGTTTCAAACCGTAAAAGATGCATCTACTTGGGCCGTGTTAGGAGGCTGCCTCCCGCTTCCTTTTTTCTCTCCCATGCTTGGAAATGATAGGAAATGCCGGCGAGTTTCGGGGGTAACAGAGACGGAGGTGGCTGAGCGCTCACAAGAGCACCACAGGAAGAGGGGGTGGACTGGGCCATACTGGGAATACCCAGCAGTCGATTCCCAATGCTTTGGCTTGGGCTCCCCTTATTCTAGTTTCTAAAGCTATAGGGAGCATGAAGAGTCGGCTTCCAAGCCTGGGGCTAATTTTGTTCAAAGGAGGCCTAGAAGAGAAGAGGTTACTGTCTAACGAGACCAAACACAGACAGAAGCGGACTCCGTTTGTCCTCAATTGCGTCCCGTAGCTCGTTTTTGCCCAGCTTCCGCGTCATACGTCTTCTCGCGGGGCGGGGGGGGGGTGTTTGCGCGCGCGCGCTGTACCTGGCTCCTTCCGATTGGCTGAGGTGAGCCCCTAGCCCTTTCTGATTGGAAGCTGAGACTGGGAGTGCGCCGTCTTTTCCGTCGTAGAGTTTGGTTGAACCTGAGGCGCGGGGGAGAATTGGGGAAACTGGAATTTCCCGCGGAGCTGACGGCGCTTGCTCTCCCCCTACTCGTTTTAATTCCACGCGCTCCAAAATATCCGCCATGGAGAAATCTTGGTAATGACCCAATCCCCGTAAACATCCCAGGAACACATCTGACCCCTACCTTAATCCCTCCTCTCCCCGCTGCCGCCGGGGGAGAATTATGGGTAATTGATTTTTCTGGTTCCCCAAGAGAATTCTGGGTAACTAGCTATTTCCATCACGTCCCCCCACCTCCGCCCCAATTGTGGGTAGATGGCCATTCTTATTTTCCCTTGGAGAATCCTGGGTAACATTGTAGAGGATTCTAGGAAACTGACTTCTCTTGTACTCACCTCTCAACCACCCACCCCCACCCCTAATTCTGGGAAACAGGCACTTTAGCTCCCTCTACCTAACTCCTACCCCTGCAGTTGCTGCTCCTTCCACTGTTGGTTCAGGAATGAACCAGGCAAGTGGGAGGCCTGAAGGGAGGTGAAAGGGAAGTCAAGGATTAAGTTAGCTATGGGGTGGTGGGGAGTACAGAGTGCCTAGAGGAGAAGAGGAAGGGGCAACAGTTCTACCTCTACCCGACTTCCCATCCCCTTCCTGCCTGCTTCATCCCCTGCTTAGCATTCTCACATCTGCCTGCTTCATCTCCCTCCTGCTGGTAAAACCTAGAACACACTAAATACAAGTACCTCGTCCTACCCCTGACTCAGTTACCTCTTTCCCTTTGCAGGTCAGGATGTCCATTCTAGGTCCACTGGTGCTATTCTGCTGAAGGTTGGGTCAGGCATCCAAAGGGGCTGTGGCAAGGGAGGGTGTGACACAGGTCTAACCTGCTGCCATCATCATCATCATCATCATCATCATCATGAACTTCGAGAGCCTGGACCCTGGACTGGCAGAATATGCCCCGGCCATGCATTCTGCCCTGGATCCTGTCCTGGATGCCCACCTGAACCCAAGTCTGCTACCGAATGTGGAGCTGGACCCGGAGGGAGTGGCCTTAGAGGCTCTTCCTGTCCAGGAGTCAGTGCACATAATGGAAGGTGTCTACTCTGAGTTGCACAGTGTGGTGGCTGAAGTGGGTGTGCCTGTCTCCGTCTCCCACTTTGACTTGCACGAGGAGATGCTGTGGGTGGGAAGCCATGGGGTAAGAACTGTACCCCTTTGTAAGGTCTGAAAGGAGATGTTGGAGGTCTGTTCTCTGGTTTTAGCCCAAGGACAGCTGCTTTATAGGAAGCCAGAACTAAGTTGAGGTGACAAGAATTACCTGGGTCTCTTAAGTCAAGCCAAGAGGAGGGGAGTGGAGGGAGAAGGAGGGAGTCACAGGATCCAGAGGTGGGTTACATAGGTGTTCTTATTCAGAAGGCATCCCACTTCTACCACAATTTGCCCATTCCATGCTTTGATTTATCTTGATAACCGTACCCATCAGTTAGCCTATAGCCATACAAATCCGGTCTCTAATGCTCCTCCTGTATTCCATTTTTATAATTATATAACATTTAACACATATTTCTGCAACATGGAATCATTTTGTCTTCTCTGGCTGATTTTAATGTCTCTGAGAGCAGTTATCATTGTTAATTTTTTAAAATGTGTATCTGTATTGCCAGTATGCTAGGGAGCCCAAAGATTTTTTAAGAAATAGCATGGTATCCTTGGTTTATTAATTTACCTACCATAGGGTGTGAATTGTTTTTCCATTGGAAAGAATGAAGTTTTTTGGTAGTACATTCATTTCAATAGGCAGTGTCTACTGCTAGGCTAGGCCCAGGGAATAAAGTGGGAATAAAACATAATCCTTGCCCTCAAGGGATTCACAGGACAGTGGGGGGTGGGAGGAAGAAAAACATGAACAGATAATTTTATGGCATTGATAAGAAATTAAAGTGTTTCACTTAATAATTATGAATTTAGGATTTAAACTAGTAAATACCAGTGTGAAAATATGTACTGGGTGTTGGTGAGCATAGCAGAGGATCAGAGGATCTCCAGAAGGAAGTGACACCTGAGCTGAGTCTTGAGAGATGAGTAGGAGTCAGGTCAAGAAGAGGGGGAAATGCTCTCTTGGCAAAAACAGTGGGATAAACAATGATTCCCAAGGTATTACACAGCAGGGTGATTGAAGAGTGTGGGAACTACAAGCAAGTAGGGTTTATTGGATGGTAAGCTGAAGCTAAAGAGTTAGACATGTCTTCATTCA